TTAAACATTTATTTATTTATTTAGAGTGTGTGTGTGTGTGTGTGTGTGTGTGTGTGTGTGGCCAGCTCAGCCCACCAGGGGGCGGGGTTGGCTGGCATGTGGTGCTGGGGGATTGGACCATGGTCCTTGTGCTCTGCCAAGCTTGTTCCAAGTAGGTGCTTTAGACCACTGAGCCATCTCGCCAGCCCCTATTTTTTATTCTTAAATTCTCTGATCCAAAGCATCTATTTCACAAATGATGTGGACCAAGGTTCCAATCTGACCTTCAAGCATATATGTGGTTATTTTTCTCATTATCAGATTAACTAAGTATCTATTCTTGTCCCCAAGTATATGATGTACTAAGTACCCATGACATAATAGTCCTATTCCCACACTTTGTACTATTTCAAGTTTGCCTCTACTCATGACCCAGCACCGCAGTATTTTAGCTTAGTTTTTAGTATACCTATATATTCTGGATATTTTTCTTTCATTGCTCTTTTTAATATATTCTTCAGGTGGTTTTATTTTTCCATATGAACTTTAGGATCAACTTGCCTAAAGACAAAGTTTTTGGTATTCTTAATGAGAGTTTCCATTTATAAATTAACATTTAAAATATTTTAATCTTTATAATGTTAAGTTCTTTAAGATGTCATGATGTATGGTATATTATTTAAGTTATCTATATTTTCATTTCTGCCTTATGGCCGTGTTAGTTTTGTTACATTTCTCAGGTGGGTAGAGTTATCCTTTGATAGCCAATGGGATTAGCTCTAAGACCCACACAAATACCAAACACTATGCACATTCCAGTTCCATATGTGAAATAATGTAACACTTGCATGTAAACTATGCACATCTTCCCACACACTTTAGATTGTTTTTAATCTTTTATTTATTTATTTGGTACAGGATCTTGCTATATGGCTCAGACTTGTAGTGATCCTCCTGTCTCAGCTTTCTCAGTGCTGGGATTATAGGCTTGTACCACCATGCCCAGTGTAGGTGGCTGGCATGGCAGGTGGGGCTGGGGAGTGAATCCAGGTCCTTGTGCTTGCCAGGCAGGCACATAGACTGCCAAGGTATCTCCCCGGCCCTGCTCATACACTTTAAATAATCTCTAGATCACTTACATTACTGGATTCAATGTAAATGCCTTGTAAATAGTTGCTTAACTGTATTGTTCCAGAGATAATAACAAGAAAAAAGTCTGTACTTTTTAAACAGACAAAATTATTTTTTTCAAATATTTTTAATTTGTGCTTGGTTGAATCACTGGATTTGGAACATGTGGACATAGATAACTACTGTATATTCATAGGTTTTGTATTTTTCATGAAATTACTGCTCTTCTACCGAGGTCTTTTATCTCACTATGTCTTTATTATATAAAAGTGAAGCGACCAGTCCCAGCCCAGGCGCAGCGTGGGCCGGACCCTCTCCCAGCCCCTCGGGCCGCCCCCACCACTCCGCAGTGCCTCCCCCACCCCGCCCGCCGAGTAGGATTTTCTGCCGTGTTCCAGGAGCCCCCAGACCCAGTCCTCGCCCAGGTCCGGTGAGTGTGCGGAGAGTTTCCTGCTAACCTGCGCCG